AAACACTAAACAGAGTCAAAAATCATGCCTACTGATTACTTTCACAAAAAGTCGAGTCGTTTGCAAAACTGAAATCTAAGGTTTTTAGCCTGACATGGCTAAAAACGAAATACAGGAAGTAACAAACAAAATCTATTTGATAATTCTTACTAAACAAAAATAAAACTTGAATCGCGCATGATCTTCATATCTGTGTTTGGCACTCGAAAACCTCTTAAAATTGCCTCTCAGTCGTCTGGAATCACGAATGGTCTGAAGCTAGGGTTGTAGGGATGTTAAGGAGGCTTATTTATACGTCATGAAAAAATCGAGTTATAAATTCGATTGAATTTATTTTGGCACGATTGATTTTTTTTTTCCATGATCAAATTTTTTCTCGAATTTCATGTTTTCTGATTTTATCGAATTTCTGACTTTAATGACCTAATTCAATTGAATTGATTGGGAAATTCAATTGATTTTTTCTGCTTTCCTTTTTCTTCGACTGAAAAGGAACTGATAAATTCTTGAAGCTTTAATTCTATCGAATTTCTTGAATTTTGACCGAAACTTCGATTTTTCATCGATTAAAGCAGCTTCCAAGCATTTATCGGCATCCTCCAATAGTTCCAAGCTCCAATTTATCTCCAAAACTCCATCAAATGCATCCTCAATGTTTCGTATTCTCAATCCTTGCTAATTTTCCCTAAAAATCATAACAAAAGTGAGTAGTGCGGACATTCTACAAACATACTGAGAAACACATAATCTATAACAAAACAAGGGAAATAGTTAGCATTTTATAAGAAAATAGTGACCAAAACATGCTAATAGATGAATATAAAATGCATCTAACAATCACTTTCCTTGAGCTCCGGCTAACTGTACACATAACATCTTCCTTCCCCCATTTTGAGTTCTTTCTTTTTCAAAAAGTTTTGTAAAAATCTTCGGATCCTTAGTTTCAGTTTGGAATCACACGAGTGTTGATCCAAATCCTTCAAACTAGGACTCTAATACCAATTTCTAACGTCCCATTTTCCATAATAAAATTTTTCTTTTTTAATTAAGATAAAATACAATTTTATAAAAACCAAGAAAACAAAATCATATGTTCCAAAGACAATCATCCAAAAATCAGAGTATCATAACCACAAGAAATCACAAAATATTGAAGTTGCTGGTGAGTGTGTACAATTAAGCATTCACCTTCCCACGATCATCTGAAGTACCTGAAACATTTAACCCACAAGTGTAAGTCAAAGCTTGGTGAGTTCCCCAAAATATCCCATATACCATAGATAACTATAAATAACAACAACGGGTCTATAAACAACCTCGAGTCTGAATCAACCCACAACGAGTCTGTATCAACCCACAAGAACAGGTCTGTATCAACCTCGGGTCCGTATCAACCCACAACAAAAATTATAAACATACAATCAACAAGCAAGACCCTACTAGTCTAGCATACACCTATGACATAACAACTATGATATAAGTAATATAGTAAGAAAACTCACCTCGTATATAGACCAGATAACCAACACCGCATGCGAATAATAACAGACCAGTCTCATACACCACCTAGATATTAAATCAAAGGTAAGCCTTAGCCATGACCACAAAATGGAGAAATAAGCTTCCCAAGGTGATTCCAAGGCTCAAAACAAGTTAAAGATGGCTAGGGTTTCGTGAGTTCTCTCCGGGGGTGATAGATGAGAATGAGATAACGATAGGGGTTAATGATGCTTAAATATCTCCCTAAAGAAGTGCACCACATTCATAGAAGAAGCCTCTGACTTCCAGTTTTTAAGATTTCAGCGAAAAATTCTATTTAAAACTAGATTAAAATTGCATACTGACAGTATGGATGTTACATTTTCTCCTTGTATTCCACCAAAATTAAACTATAGCAAATGACACCTAAGTCTTCATTTTGTCGCCTTTGTTTGGATGAAAGGCCAAAAGAACCATTAACTCTGAAATAGAAGTAGGAGTTACCTACATCTTACACATAGAGTAAAACCATAACCATAAAGTATATGAGAATGGAAATTTGAAGAAAAGATGGCCACCTGATTAGATTTCTATGTTAAAGGTCACAGAGAACTAAATGGATATGAATGCCCATTGTGGAAAGATTTGGGGATGTAGAAATCTAGTCTTTGAATGTCCGCTACACAAAACAATTTACTTTCTTTGGAATCCAACCATCCCACATGAGGTGAGACCTAATGTTGCTACCCATTTGATAGTTTACCATACTTCTCAAAGATTGCATCAGAAAGTCACCATTTTTATCATCTAACCATAGATACACATAAGCCACATAAAAAAAAATGAAAATCCAGCAAGCCTACGATACAAATTCAATAGATTCACACTCAAGTCTGCTTTACCTCGTGAATGACCAATGCCACATGATAGTCGTATCAAATAAGCACACTTTCTTTAAATTAATCAAACAATTTTTTTGTTGGTTTCAATGGCTTACAGAGAAGGAAAAGTGGATTTAAGTAGAAAATCAGAAAGCCATTTTTCTTTCCAAAATCTAGTCTTATCACCAAAACCAACAACCCTCCTAAACATACTGTGAAAATCCAAACCCATTTCCATGAGGTCTTTTTTTAGTAATCACCAACCAAATTCCCGCTAAACCCTCTCCACAAGTAACGCATCATCATGAATAACAAACTTATGCATAACAGAAATGCACTGAAGCTGTAAGGCGTTTGGATCACACTTTAATCTCTAAAGTTATTTCAATAGGAGCGCCAAATTACATGTTTTGAGATAGCCACGTCGAGACCTCCAAGTCTTTTTTTATTTTACCATCATATTTAACAAAGCATAACCATATTTAAGAAAGCTAGTCATACAATGAATTTCACCATTTTAACCACCAATTCCAAAGACCTTTTTATATAGGTTAACCTTGAGTCTGAAGGCCACGTGAAAACAACGAAGAAGCCTTTTAAGGTTCATGATACTAACCGGACACAATTCACAAATGAATGTTACATGATCAACATACAGTTAGATGTGAGCGAGTTTGACTATTCAAAGAAAGATTAATATCTTTGAGAATGTTCTATTTGCAGTTGTTTTCATACAAACATTTAACGCTACTATTGCAATAATGAAAAGAAAAGAAGAGATTGAATAGCCTTGCCTAACACCTTTTTTTTAAACTAATTTCTTTTGTAGGTGATACATTCATGAGCACCAAAGCTCTCTCGATAGATAAACACCACATAATCCATTTGCACTATTTAACCAAAATTCATTTGTTTCATAACCGAGATATAGAAATTCCAACTAGTTATTTTTTTTATTGATACATTGGGTTATAACTTGTGTACAATATATTCGACATAATAAACAACATTGAAACTTTATGAATTGTAGCATTAATCATAGTTTGAGTAAATTATTTTTAACGATAATTAGATACATTTTCCGTAAATATAACAACATTTAGTGTTAAACGAAAAAAGGTTAGCATTTATTTCTAGAACAAAAACTTGTTTTAATTAGATTTTACATTCCTAACGATTCGTGTTGTTAACTAGTTAGTGTTAGATCTTCTTAGGCCATTCCCAATGGCACTCAATGAAGAGTTTAATGAGCAAAAATAATCAAAGAGCTTGTAGTCTAGCGGTATCCGATGTTGCCCTCTTTTTGAGGTTCAGGGTTCAATCTGGTCGTAGATATATATGGATTTAAGGAATAGTTTAGCAGTAGATTAGATTTGCAGTTCTAAAAAAACAAAAATAATGTGATATAGCATTCGGTGGATAAATTTAGGATTATAGGAGTTTAATGAAGAGAGGGTTTAATCCACAACCGTATAATTTGATTTTTTTTTTCTTTTTCAATTTAATATAAAATTTTATATAGAAATTGACATTTGATTTTTTTTTCATAAACAAACTATATACTATTATTTTTATTTATAATTTAGTTTATTTTATATTTAATAATTTACTTTTTATCTAATGTACTATTCATAAATTTTAATTCAAAACTATAATCTTTAATTAATATTTTGTAACTAATTTTTAATTTTTAATTAATATAATATTTTATTTGTGCATATTGGCAATCTATAAGAGTTTAATCAAAAGTTAGAGAGTTAATTACACGAATTGTCCCTGAGATAATTTGCATATTTAGTTCTTAACTTATTTTTTTTAACTTAGAAAGTCCCTACTATTTGTTTTTATTGCGGTCTTTGTCCCTGTCTTACCTAAAAAGACTATTTTACCATTGATTCTTCAATTTATATAAAAATAAACACACCCCAACTCTACTTCCACCTTACCTCACCTTACCTTACCTATCACACCTTAGTTAAATAAATAAAAAAAATCAATGGCAAAAGAGACTTTGTAGGTAAGACGGTGACCAAAAATGCAACAAAAACAAATTGTGTGGACCTTCCGAGTTAAAAAAATAAGTTAGGGACCAAAATGCAAATTACCCCAAACTATAGGAACCATTCATGTAATTTACTGAAAGTCCTGAAATTTAGAGTTTAATAAATAGGGTTTAGGTCATTTTTGGTCACTTAAGTTTTGGTTTTGTGCTCATTTGGTCACTTAACTTTTGGTTTTGTGCTCATTTGGTCACTTAACTCTTTTTAAGTTTTAAATGGTTATCAAACTTATGACTTTGTGTTCATTTAGTCACTTAACTTTCGTTTTGATCACTTAACATTTAGATTTGTGCTCATTTAGTCACCTAACTTTTAAAATTGTGCTCATTTAGTCACCTAACTTTTAAAATTGTGCTCATTTAGTCACTAAACTTTTGAAAAAATATAAAATTTTAGTGACTAAATGAACATAATTTTAAAAGTTAGGTGACTAAATATGACCAATCCAAAAGTTAAGTGAGTAAATGAGCACAAAGCCAAAAGTTTGATGACCTTTTTAAAATTTAAAAAAAGTTAAGTGACCAAATAAACAAAAAACCAAAAGTTAAGTTACCAAAAATAACTTAAACCCTAATAAATAAAACGGTATAGTTATTGGTATAGATAGTGGAACGATGGATATTAAAAGATGGCATTAAATAACTTAGCCTACTTAGATCTGTTCTAGGTTCGCTTCTTTAGGCTGACGATAACAAGTTTTACCACAACATGAATTTATTTGAAATCGCAATAAAACAAACAAAAACTATAGATTATAACCTTTTTATCACAAAGACCCATCAGACCATAGATCTCGAAAACCTTTATTGTGGAAGACAAGGAACTAGATGGAGATGCTGTTCGGAACACCTCTTCCGGTCACCCCGGGACCGGAAAATGGCTTGAGAAGCTGGTACGGAACTAATCCTGCACCACTTCGGTTGTGCAATTTGGGATCGACGTTCCTCGAGTCTATGATTCCTTCCAGCTTTTCCAAACTTCCCCGGAACTCTTCAAACGCCGCCTTGATAGCCGGCTCCGCTGCCCATGCCGGCTCTATATATCCACCGATATACTCCTCGTCTGGTGAATGACTTGATAGAACATCAAGAACAGACATGACTTGTGTAGCTTGGATTTGCGAAGGGAAACATTTCAACAAAGCATCTTCAGGCCTTTTAATGAACGATTGCCACTCTTCTTCTGTTGGGTCTTCGTTAGGCATCTTGGTTCTAGCCATCGTTGGCCTGTTCGGGAAGTAACCCGCGAAATCATATTGTCCGAAGTTGACAGCTGAATGGTGGCCGGAGCCCACCCACATGATCGTTGAAACGATTCCGATCAAATCTTCTTGGGTTTTGAGTTGTGGCCACCATGGTTCGTCTTTCTTATCTCCATGTCCAACTGTTCGAATTTCATCCCACCATTGTGTAAGCTCTACATCAGATTCTACTAGACTCGCTTTTGGGTAGTAGTGGTTGACGTAAGACGTAGCCCATTGTTTGATCGCGTCCCAAAGGAGTAAACCGTCATTTGCATATGGGTAGTCCTCGATTGTTAGTTTCACACCATGTGGTGAATTTGGATCTTCAACGGCCAAACCCCTAAAAGATAGAATATAATCTGAGATACTACGTCGTCATGCAAAACCTTTGATTATATATTTTACGTTAACAGAAAAAAAATGCATGCATAAAGATTACCTGCTAATTAGGTCAGCTGGAAGCGACTCGTGATCAAAACGCCATAGCTGATCATATGCGTCGGAGCAAATTTGCATGGAATATTTCCCAGGAGAGAATGTCGACTCTATGATACCACCGGCGTTAATGAGAGCTAAACGAGCTAAAGCATTGATCTGCATGGTGTATCGGAAATGAGGAAGGAGTAGTCGTCGGATTGGATGCATTTGGCTAAGATGACGGTTGGTAGCAATTATGTAAGGCTCCATCACACAATGAGTTCTTAGCCTACAATAACAAAAAACCATCCCAAATCAAATCATTCATTCTACTACTTTGATTGAAAACACATAACGATGTACATGTAAAGAAATAACGTTGGAAAAGGTTACCCACCAATGGCTGACAAGTTGGTGATAAGCAGAATCATGAGAGAGAACTTGAGCCTTGGCCATCTTCCATAGCCAAGCTCCAGTGGCATCCCAGGCGGGAGTGTACACGTGCTTCCACTGTGGCTTGTCGTCGGATGGTGGTCGGGTCAACTCAATGGCTAGTGGCCTCAAAGTTCCGGTGGGAGTAAGAAACATTAAAGTTCTTGAACCATAAAGAGTTGTCCCATTAAGCTCTCTTGTTTTGTTGACGTATGGAAGTAGTAGATCATTGTAATCCAACATGAACAGTTTCTTTTCAGCCAATGCCTACAAAAAAACATGATTGTAATGAATTATTTTCACTAAAAAGAAAATAAGTTTCCATCTTCTGTTTTGAATTAATTACCTGCTCAAGAGTCATGAAACCTTTTATTTCTTGCTCGACGATCTCCTTGGTGATACCTGATTCCTGTGGCCCATAAACTTGAGGGTCCAGTTTACTCCTCAATGGCCACTCCGTCACCAACTGTATGGTATATGGATTGAGACCCGCAAGCATTTGTCGACAAAATTCCTCATCACGAAACCACGAGAATGTGTCACCTACAATTAGAACATCAATCAATATACAAAACCCAAAAACTAAAATAACAAACGAGTTAGAAAGATCAAAGCTTACGATCGATGGTTGCAGGGGTCTCGAACTGGATCACGGCGTCTACGGTATCAACAGCGCCTTTGACGAGTCTAGGCAAAACAGTTTTAAGTCCATTGTCAGGAGCAGGAACATTAACACCTTGATCGTAGAGCATATCTATGGTCCTGAATAAAGGAAAGCCTTTGTCTTTGTCTGTAATAATGGCGTCTAGAGTGGGTACAACCGCATGGAGTACAGAATACAATGCCCTCGCTCCAAAGTTCACCTCCTTTATCTCTGAGAAATCTTCATCGCTAGGCACATAAAACGGGAGCAAAGTTCTCGTCTCCGATAATGGATCTGGAGTTATATATTGCTTGGTATTTAGTTAATTATTCACGTTTACAGGAATTCAATTAGTTCTGAAAGATAATAATTAAGTTTGTACCTTTTGTAGACATTGGTCGACCAGTACGACACCGCCTAGGGTAAGGATGATCGTTGCCGCCGAGCACCGGCCGAGCTAAACTTAAGCTCTGATCCGGTGCTCCAAGGTCGTCGTAAACATCATAATCGTAAATCCTATCAGAAGATTTACGCTCTCCTTGCCCATTTCCTCGAAGAGATTCCATATCTTTCTCTCTCAACGACTTTAAGCCTTCCGGCGTTTCCGAAGGAAGATAAGACTATAATTACAAACAAAGAGACTAATCAGAACTCAGCATTGATGGATATTAAACAAGGAAAGGAAGCAAATTAGTTTGAGATTAACCTTGTCGGTGAAGAAGATTCTCTTGTCGGGGTTATCATACTTGGAAGCAACCCAAGATTCACAGGTGAAGGTGATATTGTTGTTAAGAACAATCTTCTTGAAGAACATCTTCTTGCTGTATTCATTTTCCACAAGAATTGCTCCGATCTCCCCAAAGTCCTCAGGGACATCAAAGTCGCATTTGTATGTGTAGACGTTAATGTCAAAATCTAATGCCTCGTATCTTGCATACGCCTTCACTGTCTTCTGCTTGCCTTTTGCTGTATCAAAATCAATTCCAGTCTTGACACCTTATTCTAAAATAAAATTATCTTTAAAAAAAATCATCAAACATTCATATTTTTCGCATTAAAATTATCGAAACTTATCACAGATTAGAATATGTAAAAGTTGACAGGTTTTTGACCGGATGATCTGCTGGAAAATGGGGAACGTAAATCTCAAATGTAGCGAAAAGATAGGTAAGAAGATTGGGTGTATAAACATAAATTATTCCAATCACAATTTCCCATATAAGAAAAACTGACAATTTTTAGATATTTTACTTTATTCATTAAAAGAATGAAAAAGATGTCGCAAATGTTTACCTTATCGTCAAGCATCTTTCTAGGATGATACTTATAAATAAATTTTGTAGAATTTTTATCCTTTTAAAATTTCTTTGAATTGTCATTTGGTAGAAATATAACTATAAGAACATATACGAATTTAAAAATATATATAACTGAATGGAGTGTTAGTCATGTATAACATTGAACCTAGATATATCTTACATGGTATTAAAATCATTGAATTAAGATATATCTTATATGGTATTAAAATCAATATTTTATACTCCGTGGCTAAACACAATCATGTCTATTCTCATCGAGTCTCGTACTATGAATGGAGTGTTAGTCATGTATAACATATTGGTGCTACACATCGATCTAAGTATATATATATATATATATATATATATATATATATAGATATATATATATATATATATATATATATATATATATATATATCGAGTCTCCCATCTTTATCCATAAGAGCAAATTTGGATAAATAATTTGAATATATATATATATATATATATATATATATATATATATATATATATATATAACATCACAAAACCTCCGCGTTTGATTATTATATATAGATATATATATATATATATATATATATACTCTAATAAATGAAAGTTTTTTTTGTCACTTGTCACATTCTTATTCAATTTGCCAAATGTCATTTTATGGTTATTTTGAATTAAATTTTATTCCACATGTCATTTTATAGTTTTTCTATTTTATTAAATTCAACATATTATTTAAATACAATAGTAAATCCATATTAATTTCCTTATTCACTTTCCTTTTAATTTCAAAATTACTAAATTAAAAATTAATTAATTTCCTTTATTTATTTATCTAAATTATTTGTTTAAATTTAGAGAAAAAAAACACTTTAAGTTTTATAATTTAATATTTTTTTCATTTTTCTTATAAATTCAAACTTCTCAAATATTTAGAATTTTATATATTTTTTTTAAATGGGGTATATATATATATATATATATATATATATATATATATATATATATATATATATATATTCAACAAGGAACCATTTTAAATCATAGAACCAAGGAATCATTATTTTTTCAAGTTTTAGAACTTATTATTTATCGATTTTTTTTTTAAATATAAAAATTCATAACTTTTATATCTTCTTTTTATATATATATATATATATATATATATATATATATATATCTATATAATACAATTCACGACTCGTCCACTATGGAAAAAACTTTATGAATCCAGCCACTACTATACTCACGAGTTTGACTTCTTCGATGTATATATTTGGAGAGATTTTTAGATTGATAATATAAAACTATTATTGAGTACATTAACATTAACTATTTTAAAATTGTCTTTAACTATCCGAAATAGAGATCATGTAGATGAGTGGTACTTAAAAAAAACAGATAATATAATGTTTAATTATTTTAGTCATTAATTAAATTTCTTTAATTCAGATCAACTACATAAGTGTTTTAATATGTCAGAAATTAAAAATTTCTCTTACTTTTGTTCCTACAAATCTTCCTACCCAATTAAATGATAACATGTGTCATATTAGTATATTAAAATATCATTAAATGAGTATTAAATGTTACACGTGTCACTATTTAATTGGATAGGAGGATTTGTATGAACAAAACGTAGGAGACTATTTAGTTTCTCATAATTAATTTAGCAATTTTTGTAAATTCCATTTTAGTTTCTTTTCAAGTTTTTAGAACAAAAATAACTATCTTATTGGAAATTTTGTAATAATAAAACCTATGTCGTAAATATATACAAATACCAAATTAAAAGTATCTTATTTTGATTTTGAAATCACACATCAGTAGAACGTAAAAAAGTTAGTATATATACTTACAGTCAAGGTCATTGGAAACTAGCTCGAGCAAGAAGGACCGCCCTAGAAGATCAGAGACACCATCAGCAACACCGCCAATACCTACTCCGGCGATGGCAGAGCTGATGGCTGGTTGGATGGTGATGACACCCTTGACGGTGGTCTTGGTAAGAAACGGAATTGTTATGGCTTTTATTTTGCTAGCTGAGGTGGATCGAGTGCGAGTGGCATTGGATTTCTTGGTGGTGGTTGGCTGGCGGAGAATGGCGGGTGAGTAGGCCGAGGAGGAGGAATGTGTGGTGGCGTCACCGGCGACGAAGGGCTTTTGCAGTGGGAGTAGGTTGCTGAGAGAGTGAGTTTGGTTGATCTGAGAATTCAACATGTTTTCTTATGTTTCCTTCTTCAAGTTACTCACTCTTGGTTGTGTGATTTTGAAGTTGGAAGGGTACCCTCTATTTATAGTAAAAACCGTGTGCTGCTTTCATGAGATAATTTAGTATAATGAAAATATGTTAATAAAATATTGAATTTAATTTTTTGTTTGATAGTAATTATTGTGACCAGCCATGTCCATACTCCATACTATATATAAAAAACTCGTGCTACTTTCATTAGATGATCTCTTAATGAAAAACATGTTGATAAAATATTGCATTTATTGTTACCAACCATGTCCATACCATATATGAAAAAGATGTGTTTTTTTTTTTCATAAATAGGATAGTTTGGGAAATTTCTTTCAAAAATAGGTTTGTTTCAATTTTAATTACAAAAAATGTTTACGATGGTTTTATACTTTAAATATGTGTCACACGACAAACTCAGCAGTTTTATTAGACAATTAAATCAGTTCCGATCTCCCCTTAACTACTCCTCAGCGACGTCAAATTCGCATTTGTAATTGTATGTGTAGACGTTAATGCCAATATCTAGTCCCTCGTATATCTTTCATGCAAAGTATTTGACAGCTTCAAATTACTATTGCTTGTAAGATTTATCGTTATATTTTAAAATGTTATAATAATATTTAAATAATAAAACTTGAGATATGACATTTATATTATTAAAATATAATAATCGATTTTAAAATGTTATAATAATATTTAAATAATAAAACTTGAGATATGACATCTATATTATTAAAATATAATAATCGACGTATGACATTTATATTGTCAAATTAAATATAATAATTGATAGAGGTGTCCACTATCTAATCAACAATTTCTTGATCTTAGGCCATCCGGTAGTGTATCTCTGTCATAACCGCGATTTCTTTCTAATTCGGTGTCCATCTATTTTCACCTCACCACCATTTTCTTTTAACATCAACTTTGATGTACATATCAACAATCATATAAAAAAAAAAAAAAAAAAAAAAAAAAAAAAAAAAAAAAAAAAATATAGGTCGTCCTTCATTATAGTGGTGACCACAATTCACAACACCAACCACCATGACGCACATGAGATGTTGTGTACGATTGCGCGCCGTGGCCATGAACACCCTTTACACCATTTGTGAAGGGTATATGGGAAGGTCTTAAAAGAACATCAATGGTGTGAGATATGTGCGGGATCCATGCATATGCAACCATCATTAATGGAGTTTTTTAACAACACCCTAGATTAATTAAAGTTTAGCTCCAGAAAAAAAAAAACATCGAAAAAACTCAGGACTAAACGGTTTAGATTATATCTGATGCTAAACAGTTTAGATTATGGGCGTGTTCGGCAAAACTAGCAGGTAACGATTAGCTTGTAGCGGGTAGCTTGTAGCTTGTAGCGTTTTGTTAAACGTTTTGTTAAACGCTACATGAAGTAGCTTTTGGATTTGGAGCGTTTTGTTAAACGCTACATGAAGTACCACTATGTTTCAACCAACTAAATATCATAGAGAAAACGTTATCGACCAGTTTGAGATGTTTAATATAAACTTTGTTGAACCAAGCATCATTTCTAGCCTTCCATTCACTCCACAAGAATCCGTAACAGATGGAAATGAGAATCTTTCTCTTTTTGGGACAATTCCCCCTTGAATCCGTAAAGTTAACAAAATCAGCGACCGAAGAAAAGCGTCGAAAGGGAATACCACACCAGTTAGAAATCTACTCTAGGCAGCGAGAAATAGTAGAACATCCCAAGAGCAGGTGGTTTGCATCATCCGTCCCATTAGGACACATACGACAGGACGTAGAAGCCACATTTATGCCTCTTCGAGATAAGGCCACCGCCGACAGGATATGCCCCATACAGGCCCGCCACACAAAACATCTACATTTAAGAAGGACTAGATTAAGCCGGGCCTTTGGGTTATTAATTGAAATGGTCACCTTATTGTTAATAACAATCCTTAAATCCCTAACGTAAAATTTTCCTTCTCTCGACATCTTAGATCTCCAAGAATCAGAACCGTTAACTCTCACATATCTCCCAATCAGATTTTTGAGCCAGCCCAAATCAATCAGTTCATTCAGGTTACTTAGCCACCTCTTCCAAGCCCAAACAAAATTCCCGTCAGCCTATCTCTCAGAAATAAAATAGGACTTCCTTTTTTTTTAAGTCAAAGAGAGATGGAAATTTAGAAGCGAGTGTTCCATCCCCAGCCAATCGTCCAACCAGAAAAGAGTTTGAGAGTCGTCTGCTACCCGAAAATCGAAAACAAAAGAAAAGTTGATGTTAAAATCGCCAAGCCCATTGACAGTTTTTACAATGTTGCTCCAAGTTCCTCGTAAGGACTTTTTAACCCAAGCATTTACTGCTTTCCGAAGGCAGTTGTGTATGCTAAAAATAACCTACCTCCATAAATTGCCTTTTTCCTTCTCAAATCTTCACAACCATTTGGAAAGCAAAGCAAGATTAATAGAGATGAAAGAGCCCATCCCAAGACCATCATCTTTTTTTGGCCCGACCACCACCTTCTAAGCTACCCAATTTATTTTGATTTTTTTTTGTCATTTCTACCCCACAAGAAACGTCTCCGAAGTTTTTCTAGCGCATCAATAATAGAAACCAGGGCCCTGAAAAGAGAGAAATAATATAAAGGGAGGCAACCTAAGACCGATTTGACCAAAGGTAACCGCCCACCAAACGACAAAGAAGTAGCTTTTCAAACAGAGAGTTTGTTTTGAACCCATTCTACCACGGGTTTCCAGTTCTTCTTAAGAGACATATTAGCTCCAACAAGCACATCGAGATATTTTGTAACATCCCATTTTCACAACCAAAAATTTGCATTTTTATTAGGGTAAAACTTCCCAATTATAAATCCATTATTAAGAAAACTATTTATTCCAACATACATTTATTGAAAATCAGAGTAATATTAAAGCATGAAAACTTCATTAATGCTCATGACTGTGTACAGTCACGCCTTCGCCTTCCCATGATTAACCGATGATACATGAAACAATAAACAACTTGCTAAGCACAAAGCTTAGTGAGTTTCCCCCTAAAATACCCCATACGATAAAAATACAAGCATGTACAACGGCCCACAATCATCAGATTGAAATGCCCAGGCCCAATCAGTCTGCATACTGCTAGGGCCGTTCCTGAGGAATTAAATATTTTCAAAGGCCCAGGACGAGTCAGAAAAAGGGCCCTTATCGTGATTATAAGTTTTTATTTTTAAATAAAAATATATAATAAAAAAATTAGGCCCTGTGCAGCTGCCAACCTCCCCCCCCCCCCCCCCCCCTCAACGCCCCCTATGAGTACTGGAATGCCAACATGCAACAGGTCCAATCATCTATCAGGCTGGAAAACCCAGGGTTTGTTGGCCTAAAGGCTCAACCCAACCGCTCTTCCCGATCCTACGACTTACAGTCGGCCCCCATCGGGTATCTTGGCCTACAACACGAAGAAGGACTACCTCAACCCACTACCACCATATACACAATCAAGCATCAAGTAGGCATATAATACATGCAAACATCAATCATACAACTCACTACCACCTAATATTCCTGTCACAACACATTGTCCCGCTACCAGCTAACCTCCATGGAATGGGTAACCATAAGTAACCAAAGGTGAGATAGCCACCCGAACAGATGATCCTCCTCTAAATCCACAACCAAACAAGAAGCAGACAAGAAAAGCATAGATTAATAGTTCTCAGGCTATCCTACATGACTACATAAAGCTCCTAGGGCGCTCCACTAGATGATAACCAGTATACCACTACTACGACATCCTATCATATAAGGATATATACACAGATATAGCAGATCACTGTAGCATAACAACATCCTATATAGCAGGATACAAATCTAACATATGACTACAACATAGGAGCATCCTATATAGCAGGATATAGATTGAACAGGTCACTGCATCATAGGAACATACTAAATACCAACAATCCAAGGAATGCATAACCGTATATACCCAGAGGTGAGATAGACACCAAGACAAGTGATCCTACTCAAGAGGCACAACTAAACAAGGAACATGCAAGAAAGCCTAGATCAAGAGTCCTCAGTCTATACTAAATACTATATACAGTCCCTATGACATCCCTCCACTAAAAGATAACCAAAACTAGGGGGCCATCATTGGTACCTTCGACCTACGAGTACAATGAGGCAAAACTCACCTGAATCGAAGAACCTTGAAACACTGTGATACACTCCCTTCTGCATTGCTTTCTCCGGGGAATCCGCTAATCATCACAACCCGATAAAACCTTAATCAATAGTCCAAAACCCTCAAGTTTGACCCAAAGTCAAACTTGGTCAAAAAGTCAACGGCCAACAGAAGTCAACAAAAGTCAATGTCCAAGGCTGTTGAGTACACCTAGCGTACTCAACGTACGCCCAACGTACGCTGCCTGTCCTCACTCCTCCATTAAGCACTTTATCCATAAAGGCCTTTTCTTAGAGCTCAGATCTAGACTCAGAAGATTGACTTAAGTCATAAAGTTTCCACCTTTATGACTTTCCATGGGCTAGAAAAGGTCCAAAAGCTAAAACCCTAACTTACTAATCCATTAAGACATCATAACTCTTGCATGGAAAGGATAGAAGGATGAAGATCACATTTTTATGGTTCCTAATAGCTCCATAATGGATAAAGTTTCCAACTTTATCCATTAGGATGGTCCAAACAAACAAGATCTAGTCTTTCAGTCTCAAAGGGACCAAAAGTGCATCTCTCTCAACTTAATCTATTAAGTCCAAGTCTCTAACATTCAGATCTGAATCAATATGATGTTAAGATGGATAAAGTTTCCATCTTTATCCATAACAAGGTCACAAACTTTCAAGATCTAAACTTTATGCACTAAAGTAACCAAAACCTCATAAAACCCAAAAACTAGCTAGATCTAACAAATACATCTCAAGATTTAAGCTTTATACCTCTAGAAGAAAGATCAAGGTGAACAAGGTCTGTATCTAGAAGCTCCAATGCAACCAATAATTCTCCAATGAGCTCCTTATTCTCTAAGATGCACCAA